AAATAAGTGGTCCTCCTAATTGTCAGTCATTCTGATGATATGCTTCCTCCTACATGTTCGTCCCCATTTTCACTTACCTGTGGTGAGTCCGAAATAGTGGAAAAACTGCAGATCTTGTTTTGGAAAGTAAGCTTGTATGAGCGATGCAAACAGCAACTTTTAAACAGAGCGTGCACCAGGAGAAATGGGCTCGTGCACGCTCTCACCATCGTTTAATAGGCGTTCCCTTTAAGGAGCGGCTACAGGTGGTGCATGTGCATTTTTTTTTTAAAGTAGAGAGGGCGGATTTTCTCAAAAGATTGCGTAAATCATTCCTATACCTTTATCTAAACTCTTATTTAAATGTAACTTGAGTTCAGTTTTATAATGTTTTACTTACCTGATCACAAGTTAAAATTTACTTTGTACGCCGTTGGAAGGTGGTGGCCAATAATAGAAACTGTTATGTAGTAAACCACCCAAAGCCTCCATTGTTACACAGTGACATACATGTAATAATTACATGAAATTACTTTGAAGTTATATACCTTAATTTTGGGGTAATTATCAAATAGTTTTTCTTGTTTCCAAGTAATATAGTGTGACTTGCGATGTTATTACCATGTTATTACATAGTTATTGATGTACTGTAAAAGAAAGCGTTACCGAAGAAATTTTGGAAAATCAAAAAGTCAGTTTGGAAAAAGTTTAGAATTGATGAACTATTGTTCTCTCACCCTTTCTCCCACATCCTTCCCATTTCCAGTTTGCATGTACAAGGAGCCGTCTCTGCATGAGCTTGAGGAGAAGCTGCTGAAGTCTTCACGAAGCCCGACGCTGAACAGTGGCCGTGCCAGGAGCTTGGATCGACCGGCGCGGGGGTCTGCCCACTCCTCCACAGAGCGGGAGGCGTCATAGCCTGCGGCGCCCCCCCAGCAGGTGCAGACGGAAGAGGACGAGAACCATTTTAACAATCCCTGTGTTCAGCAACTACAACCACACCGACGACAACCAACCCGCCAAGACAACAATGACGAAGAAAACAGCGTAAAAAAGATTTTAAAAATGGGGAAATTCTTCTTGCTTGTTATGAAATAAACGAGCAAGGGGGGAGGGGCTTGCTCGGAAACAAAAAAAAAAAATAGATAAAAACAGGACGTTGATGATGGAGATTTACATTTTATGCAAAAAGTCCTGCTGAATTAGTGCCAGGAGGCTAGCACACCTACTCTTCATCAACACATTGTAATCATCATCATTTCTGTCACAACGTTGACAAAATATCAGTGGAGTGGAGCGAGCGCTCCGAACTCTGAAGCTTTAAGCCATGTAGAAACTTCACTTCCTTTGTTTCCTGATGAATGCTAAAACTTTCTAACTTTCTACACGCCGTGCTTCTTCTTTTTCTCCGTACTTTGTTGAATCAGACGGACTCAGCTCCGTTCAGATGTCACAGTTTGTTTGGTTTTTTTGTTCTAACGGGTCGGGAACTTGTTCCGGGTTTAGTCACAGACACTGCCGTTTTAAAGGTCGATTGACAGACTGGACTTCTTCCTCTGAGCAGGACCGGGGAGGGGATCTCGTTGGTGATCAGAGTTGAGATTGGAGCCTTTCTTTGTTCACCATAATTTTCACTAAGTTCACTTTTCTGCATGTTTTAGATTGTTTAGAACTGGTACCGCCTGGAGCCTCTTTCTATGAAAACCATCTTCAAAGCCTTTGAACATTTAACAACACTTGATTTCAAGAAAGCACAAAAGGATAAACTTGTATAAATATAGTCAAAGAGGAAACCACTAGTAAATGACTTATTATAGCTGTTTTTTAAGGTTTTAAGGCTATGCAGTCTTGCTACTTTCCTTCCTCAATCAGATCTCTAAAAGTGGAATTATTCCTAAAAATGAAATATGAATTCTCAAATTGTGACAAATGAATAACCGGTTTGACGGCTGGCGTCCATAGTCTTCATATTATTTGAGATTAGAGAGAAACTTTTTAGCACAAATCTGAACCTCAAATGTGATTGAAGTTCTCTTAACAACAAAGTTTTTTTTTTTTTAAGAACTTAAAGTCCGGACAATGCAGGTGAGCCGACTAGGTCCTCACTAGTCCACCAAAACAAGTCTGCATTTCTGTCATATTTCGTGCATATGGATTGAAATTTAACAAAGTGTTTTTCTGTCATTCAATTCAAAAAAGTCGACTTTGTTCCTTTTTAAGGTCATTTGAACTGGAAATAAACCAAATGAGGAAACAAGTAAACACAGACGAGTAACTCCTGAAAATAACTGGAATAAAGTAATGCAGATTATTTAACTAGACATAGATTATAAAAAGTTTTAACTTCTCTGTTTGCAATGAGGGGAATCCAACAGTTTTTAAATAAACAAGTGTAGCTAGCTAATGTCAGTAAAGGATAGATGCAACAAGCTGTTGAAGATTTTCAGTCATCCAGGTCATAGTCATTCCAAAAAATGTTAAAAAAGTTTGAAGATGTTTCTCTTCCCATCCAGGAAGCTTTTTCTATTCAAAATGTCAGAAATAGCGTTGAGTTCGAGGTTTTATACAGCGGCCCAACAAAGCTTTGTTTATGATTTGAAAACATGCAAATTGAAACAGACGAAGGGGTCCACCCCTTTGGAATGGAGCTTTGGCTTCTTTTTTTAAACTGCAATGTCCCATACCCGTCTATGTCTCTGAAAGGGGGTTGTTAACGGGAATGGTTGGCCACGAGTGAATAGGCAAGGTCCTCGCTCTCCTGTACAGAGATGATGATGATGATGATGATGATTTTTGAAAGCTAAAATAGACGAAGCGGTCCACCCAAAGGATTTGCATGTTTTCAAAACAAAAACAAGGTTTTGTTGGGCTACTGTATAAAACCTCGAACTCAACGCTATTCCTGACATTTTGAATTGAAAAAGCTTCCTGGATGGGAAGCAAAACTTCTTCAAACTTGGAAACAAAGTCCGGTGGATTGTTTTGTACACTGCAAAAAATTTAAATCTAAATAAGTAATTTGTTCCTAAACTAAGTACATTTTTTCTTGAATTGAGGAGGTAAGTGAGACACTTTGCCAATGGAACAAGACAATTTACATTTAAAATAAGAAAAAGCAACTGCATTGTCTTATTTCAAGTGCATTTTATCTAATTATCTTATTTTAAGAGTAAAAATACTCATTCCATTGGCAAATCATCCCATTTACCTGCTAAAATTAAAGTAAAATACACTTGATTTAAGGAATTTTTACTTATTTCTAGATTTTTTTGCAGTGTAATTTTCTTTTTTTTCCGGAATGATAGATGCAACACGTGTAAGAACCTGCGTCTTTCTGTCGGCATTGGGTTTTGTTTATTTGCAGGACCTCAGCAGACAGCTCAAGGTGGTGTCAAAGAAGGATGGTTTTCATAGGAACTAAGCTGGCTGAAGAAACGACTGATATTAGAGGCGAAGGGTAGCAGGAGCCGAAGCGTTGGCTTCATCGGGCCGAGGCACCGTTGCATGCTGCTGCGTTCACTGACATGTGTCCCCTGTCATGATAGACTTTAGGAGGAGAATTTTGCATGATTTATTTTTTTAAAAGCACAGCGACAGCCCCGCAACGGTTGGGGAATTTCAATAATTGATGAAGACACTAACAGCAGCGTTGTGTAACTGAGATCTAGTCTGAACAGAAGCCCCACCTCAGATATAATGATATGTGATATTATTACTATCACAGCATGGATCACTGTAGGACTGCTAGATTTATTTAGACACACCTGTTCTGTTTTTAATGTGGCTATGATGAGATATTACATTACTGAGATTGGTTCAGGTTTTTTATTTTATTTTATTTTATTTTTTGAGGTAAAACAGCGAGGGTGACAGAGTGGATAAAAACAAGTCCTCTGAATATATTTTCTGGTTCAACCAAAAGCAACCTGTCGATGACATCTGATGATTTAAACTCCTCAGTTTAGACTGTTAAATCATGACTCCTACAGGAATGTTTCATTATTTTCATTATTTTATCGCTTTATGTTATTTTAAAAAAATGAAATAGATAGAAATCATCAAAACTTGATGACAGAAAATTATTTGATCCACAAAACATTTTTCCCACTAGTTATAAATGTAAAAAAAAAAAAAAAAAACGTTAAATTGTTTAATCTCTCCATATTCTATTTTTTATATTTGTAAGTATTTATTTTTCTCCTGATATTCCCCAATTTTTTTTAGGATCAGTTTTTGACTGAAAGATTGACGTTAAATGAGAAACAGGCAGGGGAGGGAGATGAGGACGAAGGTTTCAGAATAGCAGAATTTTAGTTATCCTCGAAGAAATTTAGCGTCATGGTGTGACAGAAACCTCTCTGCTGCATCAGAAGAAAACTGTAACGTTGCTTTAAGAATCTAAAAATCTATTGGAAAGAGCAGCCAGGAACCATCTTTGCAGCTGAGCAATCATGCCTGAATGATCCTGTAGATGTGGATGAACTACAGGACTGATCAGCCAATCAAACGTGTCTCTCAGCTTATTGAATGTAAGTTACTTAACATTTACATTTTCATTGGACCCCTTCGGTGGAGCGGTTAGCAGCTTTGGGTCTTCATAGAGTTTTGCATGTTTATCCCGTTGCACATGAGGGTTCTCTCTGGGTACTCCAATTTCCCCCATAATGTCTAAAATCAAGACTGTTAGGTTAATTGGTTACTCTGAATTTGTCACAGATGAGCGCCCCCCTGAGGATGGATGAATGGATGGATGGATGGATGGATGTTTTTTAAGTAGCAAAGGTTAACATGAGTTAATATAAGGCCTTTTTTATAGGTATGTGGGACCTATAAAAAAAGGCCTCACTATTTAATTTAAAAGTAAAGAGTTCAGGCTGCTGTCGTTACGTTCTTCCTCTCTCAGCTACAGGCCTTCAGACCGTGATGCGTTCAGGCGCGGGTTGATGGGAGGCTGTGACAGCAGGGTGAACACTGCCCTCTTCTGGCCAACAGCACTGCCCTGAAAACTGTAGCTACTTTACTGCAACTTTATCTGAATTTCTTGATAAAACAGGAGACTTTTAAAAAGTCTGAATCAGGGAAATCCCTGACTCAAAGGATGGATCAGTCCTGTTTACAGTTTAAGGAAATAACCTCCATCTTTCCTTTTATGTTTCACTCTCCTGATCCTTAGAGCAGGTAGCGGCACTGCCCTTTAAAACCCTTGTTGTTTTCTCTGACTCAGACCCTTCAGCTCCTGTCACAGAACACTGACCCAGTTTCCTGAAAGCAAGTCCAGCAGATCGCCAAACAAATGAGTCCTCCTTCCACAGAGACGAGTCCAATGACAGAGAAAACTTTGGCAGGGAATCATCTTATTTTCAGGGATTTTATGTCAGATTTGTTGAAATGCAGCCAGAAACCTGAAAAACGTATAAAGTGATGATGAAGTCAAACTTTATGGATTTTATGTTTGACTTTTGGATGTGTTGTTTGTGAGGATTTAACGTCCAGACAAGGCTGGTGACCGAACCAGGTCCTCATGAGTACACAAAAACATAGTTTGTTTTCCTATCATTCGATTGGATTTCAACAGCGTTGAAAAGGTCATTTGTCTTGGAAGGTTAAGCATTTGAAACCGGACAGGGCCTAATGGGGAACGAATGGATTTAATGTTTGACTTTTTGGGTGTTTTTAGGAAACTTGGTCTCCTCCCATCAGCCAGCGGGAACAAAACACGAATCAGGTTAATATCTTTGTTCTTTCCTTCTGTTTGTCACTGAACACGCTGCTGTTCCTGTTTGATCCCTAAACCTTAGGGTCACAGTGGGTGGGTCAAGGAGGAAAATCAAAGCTTCTCTGATAAAATACTGACGGACTGAACGACTAATGGAGGGAAACAGATCAACCGTCATAATCCGCCGTTCTGCCTGTGAGAAAGTCTTCCACTTGGGATTTTATTGGGACAACATGGATTGTAGAGATTCCTGACGATTCCAAGAGTTTTCGTCCACTTTGAGGGGAATTCCAGTGTCACATCCGCTTATTCAGACTAAACAGAAACATGGTTTCAACTTGATTTTAGCTCTGAAGTGTTGCTTTCCTCCGGTGATCACAGAACAAGCTAAGAGTTAAAGTATGGAATGCCAAAAGAGCCAAAAAGAATAGAAAAATTGTCAATGTGTTAAAACTCAAAGCAGAAATTAATTTATTATTTTATGTTGTTAAACAAAAAACATATTTATTATTGGGATGAGAAATATTTTAACTCCCTAACATTTTAAAATCAAAGTTTTTTTAAAAGAAGGATTATTTATATTAAAAAGGACATTTTAATAATTATGTACATGCATTGTTGTCATGCTTTTTTAATAATACAGTTCAATATAAAGTAAACATTTCTGTAGCGTTCACTTGCCATGTTTAATTTACACATATATGTTTAACGAATATTCATACCAGAAGGTTTTACACATTTCTTCATGATTTGGGGCATTTTCAGTGGAATTTGGAGTCACTAATTTGGTCCCAATTATAGTTGTCCAGGTTTATTTTGTGAGAAATTACTCCTAATGTGAACACTGGTTATTCCAATGGTTAATGAATCACCTGAAGGCAGCACCGCCGATGTGTTAGTGACTCTATGGAATAAAAGTCTGTAATCTCTGTGCTAAAACTGTGGTGGGGACTGTTACTCTAGCTCCTGACTGGAAGCGGAGGAATTGGCAGATGAAAATGTATGAACCTGTTCAAAACTTTAGTTTGTTTGCTGATGTTTGCACCGTCATATAAACGCATCATGTATTAGAAAAACTCATCGCTAATACGCAGCAGGATGAAAAAAAGACGACTGAAAAATAAAGAAAAAAATGACAGAAGAACATCAGTGTCTGTCTCATCTTTTTGATTCATTTTACAGTTAGAACCATTAAAGGAGAATTCCAGTTTTTAACACTTTTAGCCCATTTTCTGTAGTGTCCAGGATGAAATCGAATGATCGACACCAAAATTTTGACAATTGGTCCTGTCTCTGCT